AAAGAAAGAGCACCTCCAAATCAACAGAATTATACATGAAAGGGAAACATCACAACAGATACCGAAAGACACAGAACATTATAAGGAATACTTTAAAAACGTATATGCTACTAAATATGAAAACCTAAAAGAAATGGAAGGATATCTAAAGGCATGGGAACCACCAAAACTAAACCAAGAAGTGATTAACCACTTAAGCAGACACATAACACAAAAAGAAATTGAAACAGAAATATAAAACCTCCCGACTGAAAAAAGCCCAGGACCAGATGCATTTACAGCAGAATTCTATCAGACATTTAAAGAAGATCTACATCCAATACTACTTAATTTATTCAAAAAGATAGAAGTGAAGGGAGAACTTCCAAATTCCTTCTATGAAGACAGAATCACTCTAATACCAAAGCTAAGTAAAGATACAACCAAATAAGAAAATTATAGACCCATATCCTTAAAGAACATAGATGCAAAAATTCTCAACAAGATACTTGCAAACTGCATACAGACAGACATCAAAAATATCATCCACCATGATCAAGTAGGCTTTATCCCAGCGATGCAGGGATGGTTCAATATACGTAAGTCAATAAAAGTTATAAATCATAAAAGGGGCTCAAAGACAAGAACCACATGGTCATCTCAATGGATGCAGAGAAGCCTTTGACAAAATTCAACATGCATTTATGTTCAAAGTCCTAGAGAGAATTGGACTGGAGGGAACATACCTCAACATAATTAAAGCCATATATAACAAACCCACAGCCAACATCATTCTAAATGGAGAAAAACTGGAATCATTCCCATTGAAATCAGGAACCAGACAAGGCTGTCCACTATTTCCACTTCTCTTTAATATAGTGCTTGAAACTCTTGCAAGAGCAATAAGACAAGAGCAGGAAATTAAAGGAGTAATAATTGGAAAAGAAGAGATCAAATTATCCCTTTTTGCAGATGATATACTATTATATCTAAGAGATGCCAAAAATTCTACCAGAAAACTCCTAGAAATGATTAACACATTCAGTAAAGTGGCAGATTACAAAAATAAGCTACAAAAGTCTGTAGCCTTTCTATATACTAATAACAAGCAATCAAAGAAAGAGTCCATAGAAACACTCCCCTTCTAAATAGCTGCAAAAAAAAAAAAAAAAAATCTCGGGCTAAACCTGACCAAAGACATTAAGGATCTCTACAACGAAAATTTTAAATCTTTAAAGAAAGATACTGAGAAGACATCAGAAGATGGAAGGACCTCCCATGTTCATGGATTGGAAGAATTAATACAGTGAAAATGACCATCCTATCAAAAGCCATTTACAGATTCAATGTAATGCCAATAAAAATCCCCATGACATTTTTCACAGAATTGGAAAAAACCACCCTAAGATTCATATGGAAACACAAAATACCTTGGATAGCCAAAGCAACCCTGAGCATTAAGAGCAATGTTGGGGGGCGGGTTAACATACCAGATTTTAAGCTGTATTACAGAGCTATTGTCATAAAAACAACCTGGTACTGGCACAAAAATAGACCCATGGATCAGTGAAACAAAATTGAAGACCCAAATATGAGAACATGCGATTTCAGCCACCTGATATTTGACAAAGGGGCCAAGAACATTCACTGGAGGAAAGACAGAATGTTCAGCAAATGGTGCTGACAAAACTGGATCTCCACCTGTAGAAGAATGAAACCAAACCCCTATCTTTCACTTTACACAGAAGTAAATTACAAATGGATCAAGGACATCAGTGTAAAGCCTGGAACTCAGGCTGTTAGAAGAAAACATTGGCAAAAACCTACAAATTATAGGTGTAGGAAAGGATTTTCTAAACCCGACATCAATTGGTCAGGAAACAAGGTCAAGAATCAACAAATGGAACCTCATTAAACTAAAAAGCTTCTGTACATCTAAGGAGTCAATCAGGAAAGTGAAGACAAAACCCACAGAATGGGAGAAAATCTTCACCATCAACACATCTGACAGAGGTTTAACATTCAGAATATATAGCAGTGTTCTTCACTACTGAGCCCTCTCTCCAGCCCCAGATGGCTAAGAAATATCTTAAAGAACATTCAACATCCTTAGTAAATAGGGAAATGCAAATTTAAACCACTTTAAGATTTCATCTTACCCCAGTCAGACTGGCTAAGATCAAGAGAACAAATGATACCAAATATTGGTGAGGATGTGGGAAAAGGGAAACATGCATCCACTGCTGGTGGGGCTGCAAACTTGTTCAACCCCTATAGAAAGCAGTGTGGAAAACTCTTAAAAAATTACAAATGAACCTACCACTTGACCCAGTTATACCACTCCTTGGCATACAACCAAGGAACTCATCCTATTGCAGAGACACTTGTACATGCATGTTTGTTGCTGCTCTTTTCACAATAGCTAAGAGATGGAAGCAATCTAAGTTTCCTTCAATTGACACGTGGATAATGAACATGTGGTTCATTTACATGATAGAGTTTTACTCAGCAGTAAACAAAGATTAGATCCTGAAATCTGCAGATAAATGGATGGAACTAGAAACTGTTGTACTAAGTTAAGTAATACAGACTCAGAAAAAAAAATCAACATATGTTCTCCCTCATATAATATGATCCTAGAACCAAATCCTGATAAGTGAGTATGTATCCAGGCATAACTACAGGAACCAGGATAATGGAAAGGAACCAGGGAGGTAAAGGAAAAGAAAGAAACTGAAAGAGAAGAACAGTAGGAAACAGGCATTAATAAGGGAGATATGGATAAAAATTGGGTTGATTTAAGGGAGGGGAGAGGGAAGGGTGTACAAGGAACCTAGGGGATAAAGGGAAAGAAGGATCTCAAGAGAGGTAGGACCATAGGAGAACAGTATTATTAAGGGATAAAGGGAAAAATGAGGGCACCTTAATTGGGGAAACCATGATGGAGGGGTTAGGCAATGCAAGAGATAAATAATGCCTAGCTAGTTTAAAAACCAGAGGGAACCACATTAGTCCAACAACCCACTGACAAATTATACACACCAGATCAAGAATATATGTCTAGGCAATGTTTATCTGAGAACAATTGGTCTTTGCCCAATATTTTTCTACATGGCACACAGTAGTTAAAAGTACCAGACCGGTGTAACTAACCTTCTTGGATGTTTAACAGACATACTTTTAGGCCTATAACAATTTGGTCAGAGGGACATAAAGGACAGTTTTTGCTCCTTGCCCTCCTAGGTCGACTAGTTCCAGGGAACTATGAGCATCTCTCAAAATGTTCTGTAATTGTGGTGGGTCACCTGTCCTCTTCATCAAGGAGGCTGAGGAGACCCCATGAGATGGACTTGAACCAGTGTCCAGTCTACAAAGAGGAGTGTCAATACAGAGGAAACGTTTCCTCCATGCTTCCAAGCAAAGTCAGCCATGGTTGAGTAGGACCTTTGACTTATTTTCACATAGGTGGAACTGGTAAAGAAAGGAGCCAGGGCCTCCTCCCAAGCCCATGTGACCCCCGAGGAACAGATCTTCAAACGGCCTTAAGAGTAAAAATAAATTGGTTTATCTGGCCCACTCTATGGCCTTAAACACCCAAAAGGAAAGTATAACCAAAGATTAAAGGGGCCAATATAGCCTTTTAAAGAGTCCATACATATAGCTAAAGGCTACATAACAAGCAATAATGCCAGATAGGAGATACCTTCTTTTGAGTTGATGGCCAGGGTGGCCCAAGGGATGCCAAGATAGTAACCCAGCACAGAACTGGAAAAATGAACAACAGACCCCAGACTTATCTGAAGGAATATTGACAACTGATTGCTGCTAGATGAGGAACAGCTGACCTTCCTAAAATAAAGACCTCTAGATAGGCTGAATAGATTCACCGGATGGACAAGTAGTGGGGAACAGCTAGAGGTGCCAACAACACAGTGGACAGTAGCAGGGATGACAGAGTATAAGGGCTCTAGTGGAGGGAGGTAGGCTATGGGAGGGTGCCATCTGGGAAGTGGGTGTATAGATGAATAAGATGGTTTGGGATGTTCTGTGTGAGATACACAAAAAAAATCAACAAATTTTAAAAGATGAATTATATTTGAGGAAAAAGCATAAAATTTACATCATGTTAATTAGTAGAGGTGATAAACATTACCATTGAAATCTACCTGATGACTTTATAGACATACTCAGGTGCCAAGGATCTGAGTGCCACCGTTTATGACTAGTAATAATCAGATACATACAGATTAGAGACACATGTACCAACCTTTCAGTGTTGTTAGCAAAAACAATGTGTCTTTCTGTAAGAAACAGTATATTTTAAAATGAAATGGAGATCCTTCTTAAATGTTCAAACCTCATTCAATTTTATGTCTTACAGGGCTTATACTGAGTTCAATATTGTATAACTGTATTAATTCAACAGCAAACCTAAAAATTTTATGCCACTTTTGAAAGAGCTGTATCTTTGCTCTGGAAACTGTTACTGACCATGTTAAAGCTGTAATAAAATACTTCTTCTAAAAAAATTAAAAAATTAAATGAAAAGATATTTGATTCCATTTTATTACATGAAACCCATAAACATCTTATTTATGTGACTCTATTTTCATAAAATATACTATAAGATTTGTACTAGATCATATGACATGCTACATATGAATATACATGCATGTATTTTACACATTATTGGAAAAGTAAAGTCATAAATACTTTAAAAAGCAAAAGAAGAAATATCCATATTTGGATAATACTCTCAAGCGGATACCTTGCAGGTGACAAAAATAGTGGCTAAATAATTTATATCAACTGTCTACAAGCCAATTTTTCTGGGACTAAAACCATGGTGTAGGTTTTGCTTTAGGAGGTCCCAGACAAAAAATTTCAAGGAAATTCTCATTCATAGTTTCAGAGTTAGACAAAGTAGAAGAGGTGAGAGTAGATTTTCTCAAAATGCCATATTCTCTACCTCCCTCACGTTAAATCTTCACAGTCTGCTCAATCCGGGGGTATAGTCTTACCTCCTACAAATTGTGCAGCTCCCATGCAACGCCCCATCATTCTGGAGATGAGTTCTTCCATGCAGCAGCCCAGGACAGCAGCCAATGCCACTAGGAGCAGCAGAGCACAGCCAGCACCTGTCACCACTGTGCACATCTGCCAAGCCAGGCTAGGTATGGCGCTGAAGCTGGCATAGCGCCCACATTCTTCCACCATGATCAGACTGTGTCCCTCTCCCCGAACAGGGTAGTTGCATCTTCTGAATGTGCTGAAGGATACTGTCTTCCCTAGCTGGGATCCAAATAGCCAGTAAGGCAGGAAGTAACTTGTAGAACTGGCCACAGCAGTGACAAGTGACAGGAAGGCCCAGAAAGTGCCCACCAGAGTAAGGTTGCTCCTCATGGTCTCAGGTGTCTCTGCAAGGATGGGGAGATGAGATGTTTCACAGTAGCAAATGCAACAAGTTATGTAGGCTATGCTGGCCTAATTTTCATCTGACTGGATAGTCCTGGGGTTCATGGATGTTCCATGTGATTCTTGCTTCTGGAGGAGATCATTCTCTCATAGATCACTCGGTTCTTTATGAAATATTACTTTCCATCATCCTTTCATTCTGCCTAGCTCAGAGTTCTATAGTTGCTAGGCTTCAGTGGAAGAAACAGAGAGCTGAATTGGTGACTGTGATGGCAACCCAAATAGGCCCTGATCAGCTTTCTTGTAGCTCTTGTTATACAACATAGAACCAGTAATTAGAAGAGAGCCCCAAAATAAGGTGGTTCCAAGAACCAGTGGAGATCCCAGCTGAAGGGTCTTCTGGACCTGTTTATTTCAGAAAATAAAAGAAAAAGGAGGACCAGTCACAGGCCTGTCTGTATTTAAGAGGTAAAATGTAACCTATGGGTACACACAGACTCTCTCTCTCTCTCTCTCTCTCTCTCTCTCTCTCTCTATATATATATATATATATTATATACGAATGTATGTTTAAGCAAACAAATAATACATTTCCCTATGAATTTTTCAGACATCCTTATGTTCATTAATCTCTCCTTCTCCCTCTGTATTTCTCTCACTCTTCCTTCCCCAGTTAAAGTCAAAATCTTTCCCCATATTTCCCATCGCCCCATTGAGGGTGCCTGTGTCCTGCTGTACTCCTCTCTAGAGTGCCTTCTCATCCCTTTCCCCCATTCTCCCTTTCTGCTTTCCTGGCTTCTGTTGTTACTTGTTATGTACTCACATCTAAAGATACAGAGTTAGGATTTACAAATAAGAGAGAACATGTGGTATTTGTATTCCTCATCATGGTTACTTTACTCAGCATAATGTTTTCCAGTTCTATCCATTTACCTACAAATTTCATGTTTTCATTTTACTTTACAGCTGAATATAATTCTTCTGTGTATATGTACCACATTTTCATTATCCATTCATCAGTTGAAGGATATTTAGGATGTTTCCATTTCTGAGCTATTGTGAAAAGAGTGGCAACTCCCTTTGAGTTGTTGGTCAGAGTACTCCAAGGGACTAACAAAATAATATATGTTATTGCCTGCCATTTTTTGCTTCTTAAAACATAAAGGTAAACCCCTATTGCTGAAGACACCACAAACTTCAGACATAGAACTTGGAAGAAACAACCTGAAAGTGACCTGGAAGCCTCCTTCCTGATGATCAGCTCTCATAATATTAGAAGGTACTGTGCAAGCTGCCAAGGGAGAAAAGCAATCAGCAGTTCTACTCAACTGTAAAGCCTACAGACCACGATGAATGGCCCAACAAAATAACCCTAATGGTGAAAAAAGTGGCACTTTCATCTTGGTAACAAAAGGTTGTCTAATTGAACTTAATGCCTGCTCAATATGAGAGAAGTCGTGCCTGATTTTTGTAAACATAGCCAACTACCAGCGACTAGAGATGTCATAGACCCTAGAGGACATCCTATCTATGACTGCTACTCTCCTGAAACAATATAATTTCTAACTATATTCTAAATATTTATCAAGATAAGTGGAACTTTTACCACTCCATCAAAGAAACTTCTTTTTGCAACAGATAGATGCAATATCAGAGAGCCACAACTGGTCAAAATGCAGAGAATAAGAGACTGTGTTGTGCCCAACTTTGCTTGATGCATCTACAATGCAACCTCTACACCCAAGGCTCAGGGAATGTCACAGAAGACAGGGCAGAAAGACCATAAGAGCAGGAAGACCAGGACACTTGTTGTTAGTGTTTTCTAGACCTAACAGAGTGCTATATCCATGAGATATCATCAGTATGATTTCCTAAATAAGACCTGCATAATGACAACACCAGTTGATATGCTAACACATATGGGGGAAACTCCACTGTGTTCGAACTGTGGATGAAGAGCTACAGACAATAAATGGATCCTGAGAGAGGGAGAAACAGGGAGAGAGGGAGAAAAGTTTTTTCCAGGACGAGTTTCCAGGTGTTATCCAATCCCAAATGCAAAGCACAAAATACATGCACATATGAGCAACACTAAATGGACTCAGTGTGTTTGTGTATGAGTGTGTGTGTGTGTGTGTGTGTGTGTGTGTGTGAGAGAGAGAGAGAGAGAGAGAGAGAGAGAGAGAGAGAGAGAGTAACCATAATAATTGAAGAAAAGTTCATGAAAATAAGACAGAGTTTGGGAGCAATGGAAAAATTGGAGTGGGAAAGAGAGTGAAGTAGAAATGATATAAATATAGTACTTATGTATGAAATTATAAAAATCTTTCTAAATTTTTTAAGTATGCCAAAGGTCAGATAAGCTCACCATGGAGTAGTAGCATGTTGCCTTTTAACTGAGATAGTGTGGCCAACAGTGTGTTACTGTGTGCTTTTCACAGACGTACATCAGCCAAATTGAAATAAGAAGGATAAAATAAAAGGTACCTAGTTCTCTACTAATGAGTCAAGACACAGCCCACAGAAAAACTGAGAGGCCACCTTCTAACCAGCAGTGATTAACTCTAAGCTAGCTACTGAGAAAAGCTTCCCTGTCCTTTTCTGGATATGATTAAGAAAGTTTCCTGTCTCTTGGAAACAGATCAGAATCAGCTGCATGGGCCTTTCAAGGTCCCATTTGGAACAAGAAATCTCGCTTCAGGATACTGAATGCCTTTCCAGTGCTAGTCTCCTGTACCCATATCACAAATGGCTTTACCAGACCCCTCTGTCAAAAATCAACCGCTTTTCTTCCAATCCGTTAATCTGACATGGCTTTCTGGCCAGTTTCTCTATTAAAGTGGCTGCAGACCACACCGTAGCTTGATGACAGCACCGTGAATGCCTCCCACAGGCAGATGGTGGAATGTTTCAGAAACTTCTCCTTGATTCATCACTACTGATTAGAGTTGTATGTAGTTACATTGTGGAGGGGCTCCCAAAGCACTGGAAATATCGGAATTAGTTGTACATGGCAAGCACAGCACCAGTTTTGGAAATTAACAGAAGGAAGCAGCAATTGTATTTGTGGTGTCAGGATCTAGCCATGAGTGATTTCACAAGCATCATCAAATAGTGCTTGGCATAGTGTAGGCATTACAATTGGTGTTTGCTTAATGAATCCTTTTCATAAAATCATCCAATTCCCACACTGGCAGAGAACTTAATGAATCACCTAATCCAACACTCTTGCTGTACATATGGGGGATTTTTTGGCCCAGTAAAACAGGAAACGATATTTCCCAGTCACAGTTAGTAACCAGACACACCAGAACCAGAAACCTGATCTCCTGATTACTAGGCCAGAGTTTTCAATGCTAACCCCCTCCCATCATTTTACAGATGTGACTATGCAGAGGAAGTACTTTCCCCAAGAGGAAAAGAGCTAGTGAGGTCCACAGGCCAAACTAGAGCTCAGTTATTCGATTCTTTAGTATGATGAGCTTTTTTCACTTCACCACAATTTCCTCTTGATGCATATGTATTTTGCACTGTGTATTTTGTGCAGGAAGGGAGCAAAGTTCATAAATTGCAGGTGCTTACTTTAGAATGTTAGGGTTTGAAAAGACAGAACATTGAGTTGGTCACCTGGGAATGAGGTGCCTGAGAGTGGGGGAATGGGAAAAAAAAGTGGTAAGTCCAACTGGGGGAGAAGTGGAAGTAGTTTGAGTAATTGCTATTAGGAAGTAGGTATGCTTGACTACAATGAGGTAATGCTTCTGTTTTTATGCTGGAGCTTCTAAGAATGTGAAAAGCAGAAGCAGTGCTATGTGATGGTCTCATTTCTTAGTGAAGATGCTTAGACTAGATGAGAAGAAAGCTGGTAAATCGCGACTGATATAATCATCATCACGGTCTATTTTAGATCCATTATTTCGTGTGCTCTGCCCAACAATCTTCCTCTGGTTTGTAAGAAAGGTATAACTCCTCAATTTGCAAGGGAGCAAATTGAGGGTCAACAAGTCAAATTACTTCCCCAAGGGTATACAGTGATTCAAAAGCAGAACTATTTTTTCTCATTTCTCTATCTACAACCTTCCTTTCTTGCATAGTGTTCCCTCAATAGCATTATATCATCATCGCTCAGCCTGAAGAAATGACTCAGTGGTTAATTGCATTGGTCCAGGTTTGATTCCCAGGACCACATGGTGGCTAGGAATGTGAATTTCTTCGGACAAACTGTACAAGTCAATAGAGTAGAAGTCTGGGGACACTAACTTGACAAGGATAACAGATTATACGGGTTCCAGTGGGGGACGGTATGGAAAGGTGCTGGTGGGGATGGGGGCATAAAGATGATTAAGATTGTTTGATATGTTCCGTATGAAATAAATAAAATTTCAACAAAAACAAAAATTTTATAAAGTATTAGCTGGTTTAAGCTGAGTACTTACAGTCTGAACTAATGTCTCCCACCAATATAATCATGACTACTGATAGAAATGGCAGAAAACATTAGTCAGAGAAAGAAATTATATCAGTGAGTAGTATGTTGCCTATGATCGAAAGAAGGGAAATGAGTCAGGCATAGTCATGCACTCCTGTAACCAAGCACTGGAGAAGCAGGAGGTCTGAGTGCTTGAGGTCAGCCTGAGTGATGAAAAATACTTTCATAGATATAGACAGACATACAGCTATGGAGGGAGAGATTCTATCATAAAATTGACCTCGTCTGTAACAAACAACGCTGTTAACAAACTACTATTTATAACCATTGTCAACATGGAGTTCTGAAGCCAAGGCATAGCAAGACAGAATTTTAAATTTCAGAATAAATATATTTAGATACAGAAAACTTGCTGTCTTTCAGAATTCAAATTAACTACTTTAAACTTTAGGAAAACCGAATTCCCTTATTTTCACTAAGATTAGAATGAGCATCCATAGCAATTTGTATGGGATTCAAGGTTTTCTAGAATGTGAGATTTTCAGTGATAAATTCAGAAAAGTCCCAAACAACCTAGCATGAGAGGTTTGCCATATTTAGAATTCGAGATGCTGAAAGCCAACATTGTTAATGAACAGCAGGTTGAGAGTCACTACCACAGAAAATTCTCTAGTGGTCTCTCCACATGACTGAAATAATTATAAAGTTAAAAGTGACCACGGAATCGAGCGGTGCAGAGGTGAAGCTTATATACTTTGATTTAAGTTTTTCTAAATTATGGACTTGAACTTATGGATTCGATGAACAGATTTCAGAGGTTCAATTGCTCTTAACATCTTGAGAACAGTGCTACATAGTCACATTTGCTGAACATGGAAGAACAGCCTGGAAACTGCTTTAGTTACATCACCTACAATAGAGTAATCTTGTTTAGCACAGCTCTCTAAAGCTAATCCAAGTTCATTCTCAGAAGCTGGTTAAGTGACTTTGTTTTCATGTCAAAAAAAATCACAAAAAATATTACCCTTCACTATATCCTAATCCCTTGTATGAGTCATATTCACAGTGGCATTATTTCTCTGTCTTTAAATGTCTATCCTCAGAGTCACATTGCATTCAGAAACCCAGACATCACCACAGTGCTTCTGAGAAGGACAGTAGCCAGACTATATGTAGATCACTTACTTTGGTAGGAAATGTCCTCTAGGTAGTATATATGGTATATTGTTTTCATTCCCCCAAATGAGTACTCTTTCTCGCTTCCTATCGAGATGCATTGCCATGCCTTTGATCATTTTTTTATATTTTTTGCTATCACATATACCTACTAATACATGGACATTTACTATTAATTAAATGCAAACATTATTGTTTTGCTCTTATATTGCGCCCAGTAGAAAACGTAAACAGACCCCTGCCTGTACCCCTTCTCTTCTCCAGTCCTGAGGGCAAAAAAAAGACACACAAAATCCTTTTATTCCCACTGGAAACTCATAGTTTAAAAAAATGAATAAATAAAATACTTCCCAAGGACAATAGGATGAAGGCAAAAGAGTCACTGACTTCAGCTCATGAAGAAAGCATGGCAGCAAAAGTGCTTATCTATGATAAGAGGCTTCATTGACACTGGGATTGGCAAAAGAATATGGACAAGCTTTTTCCTCAGGTCCCAGAAATTGTGCATTGCCTACCTGTCAATCATGTTACAAATACTTATTCTATATTGACACTTTCCTGAGAAATGAGCAAGATATGCAGGCATATGTGTCTAGTAGATACAGTTCTCTAATATCAGCTTGGGTAAATAGTCAAGCTACCCAGTCTGTATCTTTTTCATCCAGGCACAATCTAAAAGGAAAAATCCTGTTATGTCCCAATCATTTCCCCACTACTGTCTTTGCCATTCTTGTCCCTTAGAAGTTTCTCCTCCTCTGGACATCTCCACAATAAGAGCTTCCCAAGCCTTCTGTGCTTAACAACCTCTCCTGATGACATAACTCACTGGACTTTATTTTCTACTTTTGTACTGTTGACTCTAACTGTATCTCACTACTTTTGACATCAGTTTTCAAGATTGCTGAAACTCCTTCCAGGCCTTTTCCCTGTTTCCCTTCAAGAAACACTTGCAAAGTAGCTGTGTTGGGAGAGTTGAATTATTTATTTCCATCTCATCATTCTGAAGTGGAAGACCTTTGCAAGCAAGTACAGGACTCAAAGACAGGAAGCCAGAGAGTAAGTGGAGACAGAGAATCATCTGAGCAATGGAAAAAGTCTCAAAGTTTAACGTGATTCTTTTGCTACTGCCATGCCCAATGGAATTTTTCAATGCACTCAATAAATTTACCTTTTAAAAAATTCTAGAAGGTCACCTCTAAAGTTGGCCATACAGAGATGGAGAGAGTTCATATAAAGAACCTTCATATTAAGTCCTAGGCCACTCTCTTTCTACAGTGTTTGAGCTCAAAAATGTGAGAAGTAAAATGTTTTGCCTAAAGTTTATATGAGCTTCTCCCAACCCTGAAATGCTACTTATTCAACACCCGTATGTCTTATGCTTTACCACCTAGGAAAGGATGTGACTGGACAGGTTACCAGTACCTCACCTTCAGTGATCAATTGGTTGTATGGGAGTCCTACCACATACCATCAGCTCATTCAACACTAACCTTGCCCACTGCTCTGGGAAGATATGGATAAGCTCTATCAACAAGGGACTAATGGCAAAGCACACATTCTTCTCCAACTTTAGGCTCATAACTGTACCCTGATATTGTTGTAAATTAAACACTTTATTCCATAGCCTCATTTGGAATAAAATACTAGAGCTGAAAAGAAGGTGGGCTACATGGTTATCTAACTACCTCAAAACACTTGGGAGGTAGCATAGTATATCAAGAGTGTTTCTGAAACTGGGGGCTCTAACTCCCCCAAGGTCATAAACACCATAGATTCTTGTACAAAGTACAGATAATAAAATCTCCCTTCTCAGAGTCACTGAATTTGAGTGTATATAAATTTGTAACTTCTTAAAATCGCCAATTGATTCTGATGGGAACTTGTGACTTGAAGAATACTATTTCAGTGGAAATGAGTCCAGATTTTCGAATTATATTTGACACAGGCACCCGAGGTCTCTCCGGTAAAGGTCATGTCAATATGAGGAAAAGCACTTCAAACCTTCAAGTTTCCAATTTATCTATAAACTGTAGATAACAGCACAAAGTTGAAGTGAAATATAATATGCATGATGTATCTTACACCAGTCGGTATCAATTCTCCCCATTCTACCAAAGAAGACAGGATTGTCTCCTAAGTAATAGAGAGGACCTGATGTTATTCAGTAAGAAGATCAGCAGTCTCCTCTGCTTCCTTACAACCACACTAACAGTTATTTCTCCATAATCCTGAGCTACTTTCTCTGTTTTTTTTTCCCACGATAAACTGAAACTACTTGGCTGAAGTGTTCTTTGTGAAAATGGATTTGCTTAGCGTCCATCATCAACCTCTTGGCACTTAGTAGGAACTCCTAAATGTTTACTGAAGGAATGCCATCATTTAATTCCGGCACTACTCGCCTCAACATCTGCATTTAAGTTTAACCTCACCATTTCATTCCCACAATTTCAATTTAGGCAACACTCAGAGATTGCTCTACCACATTGGGAAATCAGATCCATTTTTACTTGGACAGACAAGTCAGAACAAAATCCTTCCACTCCCAGAGTTTCCTCTCCTCAGGTTACCAACTCCCTTAGGGAAAGCAGCTAGCACTTAACCCTTATGTCTTCAAACCTTGTCCATATGAAATCTAGCACTGATTCCTCTTAGACTGTGCAAACAACTGACAATAAGGAAGTAAAAATACACCAGACTGCCTCTGGGAAGAAAAACAGCTTCTCTGAGCTTTGACATGAAAGGACAGGAAGCCTGAAAAAGGAAGCCAGTAAGAAAGGCTGAGCAAGGGGAGAGCAAAGCAGTTTCTTATTCAGCAGCTTCAATTGCATTTGGCCCAAGCTGCATATTTACCTTCTGACCACGAAGCCTGATTGACTTGTTCCCTCTCTTCAAGCTCGGATCTGAGGAAAACTTCTCACAGCTTGTCAGACAGGGATGGGAATCCTGGTTGCTCTTTGCAGTGATGCCTGAAAACCTTGCTTTACCTTTGGGAGAGGGGGGGCGGAGTCCAACATAATGGGAATTAACTCCAACTATGCTGGAGGCTTCAAACTCAGCCTCAGACATGCAGGCACTTGAAATAGAAACTAGCTCAACAGCCACTGAGCTCTCACCTCCTGCCTCACAGCTGCCAAGCCAGCCTCTGTGTGTGTGTGTGTGTGTGTGTGTGTGTACGCTCACTCTTAAACTGCGTATCTATTATTCTCCTCCTAACCTGCTGTCAGAATGCCAGCCGAAGAACTGAGGTTCTCTGTAACTTTTTCCCAAAAGCCCCAAATACTCTCTGCCACACGTATTAGGTATGGGGAAACCACCGCTTCAGCACACACCGAAACCGTAAAACAGATTTTTCCCTCAAACTGACATCCACTGTTTGATAAGGATGATGCTCCAATAGAGGAATCTTTGGTTCTAAAATGTAACAAACTAACATTTAAGAAATTGTTGAGGTCTGGCAAGATGATTCCATGGGTGAAAACGATTGTTTCACAAGCCCGATGACCTGTGTTTGATCTCCAGAACCCACAGTAGAAGGAGAGAACAGACTCTTGGAAGTTGTCCTCTGAACTCCACACATGTGTTATGGTATGCTTGCCCTTGCATTCACATGCACACATAATTCAAACATGCAGTAATAATAAACAAAATTAAAATTTAGAAAGAAAAATATATTGAAAGACAGATGATGTGGCACATACCTGTAATCAATCCATTAGGCAGATATTTAGGCAAGAAGAACACAAGTTCAAGGTTAGCCTGAGCTACACAGCTCTATCTCAAAACACGAAATCCAAAGAACCTAATAAGATCATACACTGAAAGGGGTAATGATACCTTTTAAAATAGCAGGAGTGGTACCAAATATCAGTATCTAATTTATCCAAAAGCATGTCTAACTGCTTTTCTGCTTGAGGAAAGAACTGAGAGATCTGGAGATGAATAGAGCTCACCTGGAGCTCTGCTCCAAGTTAATGTCATCTCTTTCATCTATGAATATCCCTGGCACTCTGCGTTTATTTTTGGAAACTTATCACCTTGCACATTGTGCCTTTTTGCATCTGTATCTTATTTCCTCTTCTAGATGCCCTGTGAACAGAAAACTTAGCTGAATAAATCAAAATTAATTATAAAGAAGATAGCTTAACAGAGCATACTTTACTATTCCAAAATATTGGTGCTTCTATTATAACTCTCTTGCATTCCGATGATGCTATGACAATTTTCAATTCCTTCAACATTTTATAGCAAAAATTAAAAAATGTGAGAATGAGGGCTGGAGAGATGGGCTCAGCGGTTAAGAACACTGGTTGTTCTTGCAGAAGACCCAGATTCGAATCCCAGCACCCACATGACAGCAAACAACTGTCTGTAACTCCAGTCCTAGGGAATCTGACAGCCTCTTCTGACCTCCGTGGACATTGCATGACATGGGTGTACTTACCTACATGCAGGCAATACACGCGTACACATAAAATAAAAAGAATTACTTTTTAAGTGCGAGAATGAGTGAATTAGTAGTTTAATATATTCATTGTGCTATAATTATTTAAAGAAGATACTACAGTTTTCCTGTCTCCCTTATGCATGCATAAGTTCCATCTTGTATTTTATCTGTAGTCACGCATGTATTTGTTTATCCAACTATTTCCTGTCAGCAGTTTTAGCCACTTTTTCCTCCCAAGCCCACTGATAAACCACACTCCCATCTGTAATAAGAGCTTACGGAGGCGGTTCCTGCAGGGAAGAACAGCTGACCTCTTGGGTGGAATGTCAGATTTTTGGCAATGTTAGCTCCCCTGAAATTTTTAACAGTCTCCCAGTTATCATCCCCTTAAGAATCACTGCTTCACATATAGGGCTATGTAAAGAGAAGTGTTATGCCTTCCTTCATGAAAAATAAATCAGTATTAACAGACATATAGAACCTGTGTGAGAGATAGGGCTGAAAACATTGACAGGTGGAAAACAGTTGATTCTGCTCTTTACTGCAGAATGCTTCACCTTTCAGTTAGTGACTCTACCTGTCATCACTAGTTAGAGCTCTAAGAGGAATATTTTTTCACTTCCCTCTTTTTAATCTCTTTTCATTGTGTCTCTACTTCCCTGAAATGAAATAATACAGACACTTAGGTAGATATTGACTAATGATATTATTTATTAGGCACATTTTACTTCTTATTTTTTAAAATTTTTTATTGAATTTTTGTATATTTCATACATAAAATTATCTTTATACCCCCTTTGGCACACCCCCATAGCCCCCCCATTCCACTACTGGTGTTCATACATTCTGTCATTTGTATTAAGGGATATTATGTAAATTTAATGTCCCAAGATGTCCCTCAGTGCAAGTTCATCCCCTGCAGTTTAGTCAGCGTACCTAGAGTCTCTGTCTTCAAGATCAGCTCTTCCTCATGCAGCAGTAATCAGCTGCCGATAATTCTTTGACTAAGATTGGGGTTTGCTGTTCATGTCTACAGTTTTGTGCTGGGATTTTGTCTGCTTAAGTTTGCATGGGTCTTGTGCATGCTGACACCATTGCTGTAGGTTTATATGAGAAGGGTCTCAGGTGCCTGTAGGACTATTTTGGTATGATCATTCACCTCCTCCCTGGCTCTTAAAATCTTTCTGCCTGCCTCTTTCACAATGGTCCCTGAGCCCTGAGTGAGTGAGTGGACCTCAATATAAGCATCCTGTCCAAGGACCCACACTCTGTTGATTCTTATTTTCTGTGTTTTCGCCATTTGTGGCCTTTTGTGTTCCTGGCCCTCTGATGCATGAGGGAGCTTCATTTATGAGAACTGAAAGATGCATTAGTGTTCTCTTCATCTCTTGTTCTATGTTCCATGAGTCTTAGGTGTAGAGGTTACATGGTAGATGTGCCACTTAAACTTGAACAATTCACTGAGAATCTTTGTGTGTGATCAGTGGTGTAGCTGTAATAATTTCTGTCTGTTTAAAAAGAAGCTGTTTTGATGGGTGGTGACTGGGATACTTGTCTGTAAATTTAAGGATCCATATTTTCACATAGCAAGAAATTTCATTTGTCTAGGGTTGTGACAGCCTTGGAGTTCTCTCTAACATCTACGGCCTCTCCAGCTATGTGTGTTTTGCTAGGTTATAGCACCACACAGGAGTTTCCTCCCATTGAGTGGGCTTTAAGTTCAATTAGATAGCTGTTGATTACCCTCAAGATAGCTTTGGAGAGCACTAAGCAAGCAGGTAAGGAAGAATATCAAGGTACAACCCTAGCTTCAAGGCCTAAAAATCACATGAATGACCATCACAGCAAACGACTTTGGTGCAGCAGTGGCGCTTTTATTTCTTATTTTAAATTAAGAAGTTGATAGTTATCTCAGAAAGAAATTGCTATAAGCTTGTGTTTTTTTTAAATTAAATATACTGCTCATGAGCTGGAGGGGTGGTTGAGCCGTTAAAGATTCAGGCTCATAACCTAAACATAAATATGCTGTTCAGCTGGTCACCATGGTTCATACCTATAACCCTCCTCTGGAGGCTGAGGTGAGGGATTCCAAGTCTAGGGCCAATATGGCCTACATAGCAAAACTCTGTCTTAAAACCAAAACAAAGCAAGTGCTCTTCAGCAATAACATGGAATGGACAGAGAAGGGGACACGTCTTGTAAAGGATATAGTGATGTATGGTATTTCTAATAATGTTTAAATTCTTACTGACCAAGGAGTATTTAAAGTCTATACTTAATCAGTCTGGAATAAGAGATTATGCAAAGATAGCAGAACGGTGATAGGTGATTTTAATATACTTCTATCCCCATCCGTAGTTTACCAAATATTGCTCTATGTATGTAGTAACATTTCCCCTGCAAGGGTAATAGTTCTACAGTATTTTGTAGTCTAGACAAGGAGTCAACAAGTCTGAGCCTGTTCATGCCACATTCAGTAGGCTGTGGGTTTTTCAAAAGTTTTTGAAAGTTTTATGGGCACACAGCCATAACATATTCATTCCTGTATTATCCATGGCTCCTTTCATGCTACCATAGCAGAGCTAAGTAGTTGTGACAGAGGTCTTATGATCTACAAAGTCTAAATATTTATTACCTGACTCTACAAAGAAAACATGTTGATCCCTGGTTTAAGCTCACAACAATACATTACGGTAGAGACATTGTGTCAATGGTTAAGAGAAAGGAGTTGAAATCAGTGAGGAAAGAAGTGAAATAAGGATCAATGCCAGCTGCATTCAGCTTTGTTATGGTACTAGCCAACCAGTTCTGGTTCTTTAAATTCTACTCCTTAATAGTTCTGAAATCTAGTGTTCACTATAAGCCAAATATTGACAATTTTTTGTGACAATTCTTGTTTAGCTACTCATATTGTTTGCCAACACACTATAATTTTGGGGTTTTTTTTTGTTAGAGTTGTTTCTTCTTTTTGAGTTATTTCCTTATTTTGTTTTGTACAAAATTTGTTATAAATATATATTCTAAGAAGATTTCATTTATTTTTAAGGTTATTTGTAGAATCCTGTTGCCCTTGAATTTTGAGAAGTTTTCATATAAATGTTTTCAAAATTTAAAACATATACATTCCATGACCTGTCAACCAGACAAGTTGAATATAGACAGATACTCAGTTCAGTGAAAAAGTTTTAGTTCTAGGGGATAACGAATAGGTTTAATTGGTAAAGTTCTTAGCCTTCAACTGTGAGAACCTGTGTCTGAGCTCTGGTAGCCATGGGAAAAACTTGTGTGGTGGCATAAGTTTATCTCTCAATAACAGGGATACTAAGACAGGTGAAATCCTGGAGCTGATGACTACACACACCATGTAATTTTTTTTAAGTTTTACTTGTAGTGCCACAACTGGCCAATGTATAGAGAATAAGAGACTACCGAGTGCTTATGCCTGAGTTGGAAACCTATACCAAACCTCTACTTTCTAATTCTCATAAATCCTTGTGGAAGAAGTGGTGGAAAAATTGTAAGAACCAGAAGTGGTGAATGACCACAAGGAAACAATATTTCAAACAGTTTTTCAGTTACTAATGAATGCACATCAATGGTTACAGCATGCACAAGTCCTGTGCAAGATCAAGTCAGACAAAAATCTCCACATAGAAGTGGGGAAGTGGGGAAGAATC